GGTTATGTAGATGATCGCTAATGATGAGCCCAACTTGAAAGTTGTGGTGCAGAGAGAGCAAATTGAAGATCTTGAGTTGTCGTTTTTTGAAGTTTCCAATGCCAAAATTGGAGATGCAGTCACCAAGTACATGCAATCACGTCTGTTTGATAGAAGCCCAAAGAGGCAAGTATATGCTGAAGAAAAAGCTTTGAGATTAAATTTTTTATTAAAAAAAAAAAATGTTACAGAAGGTCCTAATTTTTTAAAGGTCCAATAAGATGAGATCCCATTTTGGATATGTAGAATTGCTCATCCACATATATGCAAAAATGTTTGACAGCCTAAGTTGAGGAAGAAGAGCAAAGAAACTCTGACAAAGGCATATCTGGGCGCAAGAGTGAAGATCAGGGAGGCAGAGAAAGCAGAGGAGACATGGAAAGTGGGCTCAGCATCTGCCATAGTCATCAATGGGGAGAGGCTTGTGATGGCCAACATGGGTGAATACAGAGCTGTTGTGTGCAGAGATGGTGAAGCTCATCCGATCAGTAGGAGGCAACAACAAGGTACCAAAAGACACTGGTTTCTCAGATTCATTCCAGGCATGCAACTCTCTCCCCCACTCCAATTATATCAATTATATATTACGTTTAAAAAAAAAGAAAAAAGAAAAAGAAAAGTGAATGAAATAGAATTTTATTTTATTCTGCTTATTAGGTGTCATATGCATGCCTAAAGTGCGCACATCTAAAAGCTCAGAAGTTGTGGTTGGAGAAGAAAGAATAGACTCTGATACAGAGTTTGTAATCTCCTCATTGACTTCAAAACATTTCAAAAATGTATATATAACCAAGATCTATATGGGAGTATATCTCTTCCCAAGAAAATCTCTCTATATTTTGATTTGAAAATCAAAACGTTTAATCTTATTATCATCCTCAAATGCCATATATATTCATTTGGTGAAACACATCTCAAGTTTCAGCATAATCATGTGGTTTAAGGATCTTCATCTCAAGCTCAAGGTAACTCTCTCTCTCTCAAAATCTATATATACATGTGAGTGTACACACACACTATTTACATGGGTTGGAGAATTAGAAGATTTGATTAATGGAGTCTCAGAATTATGGTGAATTTTTCTAGGTACACCCCAAAAAGCACCTTAAAAGCAAAATTTTAACAACATAACCAATCCTGTTATATATATCATTCAATAATTTCGGAGCAGCAAGCATAAGTTTCTTCAAGCCTGTATTTGATAAAAACATGAGTTTGGTTAGGATAAAAGTGATTGGAAGTGCAAAAAAGCAGAAATTATCCACAGGCGTTATTTTTTTTGGATCATGGAGTTTAATAGTCTTTGTTATTGGGTGGGCATGCCATCGAAGTATGGATCCTCCAGAGTAATTTTTTATCATAAAGTGATGTGTTGTATGATCACTCTAGAAGATCCATGCTGCCATACGATCACCATGAAATTCTCAAAATACCAAATATTTACAGAAGAAAAAGAGAGAAAATCAAAACTTTTCCTAAATTTGTCAAGTATGAGAGTGATTGAAGCTAAATTTCTTGTACAATCCATATCGACATGATAGCTTGGCTTTCAAGTTCTTTAGAAAAATACAGGATTTTTTTTTTCTCACGAAAATAACCAATTTTCTTACGAAAATTCTTCAATGTTTTTTGCTCTTCCAAGTTTATTTTTCTTGTTTCTTGTTTTTTTTAGATGTTTCCTTCATTGTTTTTCGAAGCCACTTACAATTTATATAACTAGACTGCAGATCACTACAATGTTAATTAATTTTTTATTGGACGGCTCCAAAACATTGTTCATTATGTGATGATATATATTTTTTTTATTTTCTTTTGTTACTTTCTATTTTGTGTGGTAATTTTGTTAATGAATTGGGCAGGCATTTCGAGTGAGAAGATTTTTCAATGGAGATGTGTCAGGTAATGGAAAAAGAGAGACTGAGTTTCGAAAGAGGCCTTCATGGATGGTGCCAGTGTCACATGGTTATGTAGATGATCGCTAATGATGAGCCCCACTTGAAAGTTGTGGTGCAGAGAGAGCAAATTGAAGATCTTGAGTTGTCGTTTTTTGAAGTTTCCAATGCCAAAATTGGAGATGCAGTCACCAAGTACATGCAATCACGTCTGTTTGATAGAAGCCCAAAGAGGCAAGTATATGCTGAAGAAAAAGCTTTGAGATTAAATTTTTTATTAAAAAAAAAAAATGTTACAGAAGGTCCTAATTTTTTAAAGGTCCAATAAGATGAGATCCCATTTTGGATATGTAGAATTGCTCATCTACATATATGCAAAAATGTTTGACAGCCTAAGTTGAGGAAGACGAGCAAAGAAACTCTGACAAAGGCATATCTGGGCGCAAGAGTGAAGATCAGGGAGGCAGAGAAAGCAGAGGAGACATGGAAAGTGGGCTCAGCATCTGCCATAGTCATCAATGGGGAGAGGCTTGTGATGGCCAACATGGGTGAATACAGAGCTGTTGTGTGCAGAGATGGTGAAGCTCATCCGATCAGTAGGAGGCAACAACAAGGTACCAAAAGACACTGGTTTCTCAGATTCATTCCAGGCATGCAACTCTCTCCCCCACTCCAATTATATCAATTATATATTACGTTTAAAAAAAAAGAAAAAAGAAAAAGAAAAGTGAATGAAATAGAATTTTATTTTATTCTGCTTATTAGGTGTCATATGCATGCCTAAAGTGCGCACATCTAAAAGCTCAGAAGTTGTGGTTTGAGAAGAAAGAATAGACTCTGATACAGAGTTTGTTATCTCCTCATTGACTTCAAAACATTTCAAAAATGTATATATAACCAAGATCTATATGGGAGTATATCTCTTCCAAAGAAAATCTCTCTATATTTTGATTTGAAAATCAAAATGTTTAATCTTACTATCATCCTCAAATACCATATTTATTCATTTGGTGAAACATATATATCTCAAGTTTCAGCATAATCATGTGGTTTAAGGGTCTTCATCTCAAGCTCAAGGTAACTCTCTCTCTCTCTCTCAAAATCTATACATACATGTGAGTGTACACACACACTATTTACATGGGTTGGAGAATCAGAAGATTTGATTAATGGAGTCTCAGAATTATGGTGAATTTTTCTATGTACACCCCAAAAAACACCTTAAATGCAAAATTTTAACAACATAACCAATCATGTTATATATATCATTCAATAATTTCGGAGCAGCAAGCATAAGTTTCTTCAAGCCTGTATTTGATAAAAACATGAGTTTGGTTAGGATAAAAGTGATTGGAAGTGCAAAAAAGCAGAAATTATCCACAGGCGTTATTTTTTTTGGATCATGGAGTTTAATAGTCTTTGTTATTGGGTGGGCATGCCATCGAAGTATGGATCCTCCAGAGTAATTTTTTATCATAAAGTGATGTGTTGTATGATCACTCTAGAAGATCCATGCTGCCATACGATCACCATGAAATTCTCAAAATACCAAATAATTACATAAGAAATTAGCAGAAATTAGCGCATGTTTAGGTTTCTGATAGACATCTAGTGATGTACTCTTAGATGCTCTGTACACTAACCATTTCAATGCCTGATTTTTGTTTGCTACTTAAATATAACTACAAGAGTTCATAGTTTCACATGCTTAGTATTAACTATGAGACAAGATTCAATGCAGTATAAAACAATTTTGGCAAAGGAAAAGTGGATTTGAATATACAATAAGAACTGTCTTATCAATTACTGGTTTGTGTTGGTCGTCGTTTGTTCCTTTGACAGAGCTTAGCGCAAGTTTTGTTGGCAATTGTTTTCGGGTTTTCTGTGAGGATGCCAACTGAGCAGTTCTTGCTGCAATTCTCTTTTCCCTCTCCATCTTCAAAGTTTCCAGTCGCTTGCGATATTCCTCTTCCTGTAAAAGAAACAACTTGAAGATATAAGAAGTCCATTGGAATGCCAAACATGCTAAGCTGGCAAAAGAAAAATTGCACTGTAACTATAAGAACATGAAGCTAAAGCCAAAGGGCAGCCCAGTGAATGGGGCTCCGGCCACTGCGGGGTTTGAGAAGGGTTAAACAACCTTACCCCTGCATGTGGGGAGGCTGTTTCTCTTTTTCAAACCCATGATGTGATATCGCAAGTATCACAAGGAGTTTTGCTGCTAATTTTCTCACTGTGTTGTGGAGTGTTGAAGTATAATAAGCAATGTACCTTGTTTTTCTTCATTTTCTGGATATCAGCTTTGAAAGCTCTTAGTTTTTCAGCACGAGCTCGTGCATCTTCCAAAGGACGCATTTTTGAAGTTTTCCCTTTTCTTATTGGTCCCACAGTCTTCTTATCTAAAGCATCTGGAGCAAATTTTGACTTCCGATCCTTGTCTGACTTCTTGGACCCTTGCTTGACATCTACTACAACTTCCTTATTTTTGTTATCCAGTGAAGCAGCATCTTCAACATGAGCCTGCATTTCATAGTCCAAAGCAGGGTCATATCCAGTAGTCATTTTTGCTGTCCCGCATTCAGGCATGAAGCTCAAATCATCTGACTCATAGTTAATTTGGTTTCCAGTCCTATTAGAACTATATTCTGACCTCTACATTGTTGAAGGAAGCTCAGAATCCATGTCAATAGCAGTTCTATCGTTAGTTCCAACATGATCTAGTGACATTGACTGGAATGGAACTATGAAGGATTCATCAATCATATCTTGTGGTGAACTCCCATCCAAATTATTGGTGGCACGCGTGAATCCATTTACAACCAGCGGATCTGATGAACTCAAAAAATGTGATTGGTTTTCTCGTCCAACAATCATAAAATCATCATTTGCATTGTTCCTATACAAAACCTTTCTTCTATTTGTTTCTGTAAATTGTATATCCATTTGGTCATCAGTTGATCCTATACCATCTCCATAATGACCCTCTCCTCTAGAAATTAACCCTTCATCATTTGATGCCCTCAACATCCGAGCCACGTTTCCACTAGCTTTATGGAATTCAGTAATCCTCCCGTCTTGTGCTTCAGTTGAATCTCTCCCAACAACAGCAAATGACACCAGTGGTGCCATGTGATCAATGTCAAAACCAGCAGCTACTGCACGTGCAAAGGCCATGCCTTGTTCTTTCTGCAGTACGCTTCTCCGTGTCTCTAGGACTTTCAAAAGTTGGACTCCGATTAAATATGCAAAATAAGTACAATGAGTACAGGGCTCCTCAAAATGTTTTCAAATATTGTTACCCATTGGACATACAAGCAGATGACAACATGTCTCACAACCTTAAAACATGGCATCTTCATTTCATTTTGATTTGTGATATGCAAATGTTTATTTCAAATAAAATTGGTTCATTCTTGAGAAAGAAACATCTGGACAATTCACAAATTTATATGAGTATGAATGAGAAAACAAATAATGCAGAACCAATATCAATGAATTACCAGGTTTCCCCACACAATAATGAGACTTTTGTGTGTGTGCGTGTATATTTATACAACTTATGTCATTAGGCTGGCCCACCACTATATAGGTAGGTGTAAGGTACTGAACCACTATCAAAAACAATACTTAGGCTAGAGCAAATAAGTGACATGGAATAGAATCATCCATAGAGATATTCTAGTAACTACACTGCATTCAGGCAAATAGCTTAGGCGCCATATCCATGGGGACACACACAGCGATTGCACTTGGAAAAAGACAGGCATAAAAAAACAATAAATAAATAAAACAAAACTCCAGAATCTAGCCACTTGAACACAACAACTGTGCAGCAGCAAATGAGACATTTCACCCATACCACTGTAATCAAAGTTTCCACTTTCCTTCTTGTGGACAAAAAGATCATTGAGTTGCATTTACCTCTTCAGCATTCAAACTAAAAGATAGTAATACAAGTATACTTTACATGTCAAGCAGAAATGAAATGGTATTGAATCCAAAGCAGTTTTGTGACATTAGGAAAACATGAGACAAATTTAAAGATAGAGGCTGCATGAATCTATTCTGTGTATATGGGTGCCCAATGATGCAATACAAGCATAATTATGGGAACCTTGCCGTACTATTTTGACATTCCAGTTTATATTAAATTGTGCTTATTCGATACCATTTGACATTGGTTATGTCCAGATTTAGTTTGTACTTATCAGTGCACCCGGCAAAGTATATTATAACCATCTATATCAATGAAAATCAATTTAGAATTATTAGAGAAAAATTACAACCACCCTAATGTTTAAACCCTTGAGTAACAAAAGAAATTTCACAGATAATTTTATCACCCATCGTAGCACTAGAATATACTTTGAATTTCCTTCCTGTGCGATGGAACCATTTGCCTCAGGTGGATGCGAATCAGGCTGCCAGTACAAGAAACCATATTATGATTGCATATATGATAAGTCCAACATTTGAAGACAATACTTGATTTGATGTGGAGTTACCTTGTAAAGAACAATTGCTCTTTCCTCATTAGCATCAGTCACGGTTTTGTCGCCTGCCCAGAATTTTGAATGTAACTCAATACCATAAAAAATAAATTAAATTTAAAAATTAATATATTCAGCATCTACTGCAGTAGAGTACTAACTTCATGTTCATCGCTTAATCCTTTAAAGCCCTGAAATCTACCAAACCGGTGTGAAATTTGAAGGAACGGTGTAAATGGAATAAGGGGAGTCCAGTGAAATCTGTGATATGATCAGAAGAAAGAAAGGATAACATCTTTTGTTGGTAGGACCACTCATTTATGACTTGGTGTACATACCTGCACTTGCATCAATGGCTGCTTTTCCATTGTCCTTTGAAGGCAAGTCACCATGTGATTCATTCTGTTTGTTGGCCATGCTAGAAAGCATAATGCCTGATGCATTCATGGCAGAGAAGTCTGATCTGTTGGACATTGCTTCTGCTGCTTCAATTTCAAGCCACTGTCCAGTCTCATGCTTTCCCTTCCACAAATCTACGAACCTCGAGCATGCATCCCTGTAGCATGGGCAAATCTAACATCATACAAAAAAATGGTATCTACAAAGAAAAACTGGTGTGACAATTGTGGAAAAGAGGGAATAAAAAGCTCCATTCAATGCAATATCGAAGTGGGCTTTATGAGCACAAACATGAATTAAAAAAGAAAAAAGAAGAAGAAAATCGGTAAGAAAGGGGTTGAGGAGGTGGGGGATGGCAATCAACATCTGCAAACAAGAAATTGCTGCTTACATTAAACGCGAGGCTCCAAAGCATTCAGCAAATGACACCAGTGGTGCCATGTGATCAATGTCAAAACCAGCAGCTACTGCACGTGCAAAGGCCATGCCATGTTCTTTCTGCAGTACACTTCTCTGTGTCTCTAGGACTTTCAAAAGTTGGACTCTGGTTAAATATGCAAAATAAGTACAATGAGTACAGGGCTCCTCAAAATGTTTTCAAATATTGTTACCCATTGGACATACAAGCAGATGACAACATGTCTCACAACCTTAAAACATGTCATCTTCATTTCATTTTGATTTGTGATATGCAAATGTTTATTTCAAATAAAATTGGTTCATTCTTGAGAAAGAAACATCTGGACATTTCACAAATTTATATGAGTATGAATAAGAAAGCAAATAATGCAGAACCAATATCAATGAATTATCAGGTTTCCCCACACAATAAGGAGACTTTTGTGTGTGTGCGTGTATATTTATACAACTTATGTCATTAGGCTGGCCCACCACTATATAGGTAGGTGTAAGGTACTGAACCACTATCAAAGACAATACTTAGGCTAGAGCAAATAAGTGACATGTTATAGAATCATCCATAGAGATATTCTAGTAACTACATTGCATTCAGGCAAATAGCTTAGGCGCCATATCCATGGGGACACACACAGCGATTGCACTTGGAAATAGACAGGCATAAAAAAACAATAAATAAATAAAACAAAACTCCAGAATCTAGCCACTTGAACACAACAACTGTGCAGCCGCAAATGAGATTTTGTGAAACACACTTGAAGACACATTTCACCCATACCACTGTAATCAAAGTTTCCACGTTCCTTCTTGAGGACAAAAAGATCATTGAGTTGCATTTACCTCTTCAGCATTCAAACTAAAAGATAGTAATACAAGTATACTTTACATGTCAAGCAGAAATGAAATGGTATTGAATCCAAAGCAGTTTTGTGACATTAGGAAAACTTGAGACAAATTTAAAGATAGAGGCTGCATGAATCTATTCTGTGTATATGGGTGCCCAATGATGCAATACAAGCATAATTATGGGAACCTTGCCGTACTATTTTGACATTCCAATTTATATTAAATTGTGCTTATTGGATACCATTTGACATTGGTTATGTCCAGATTTAGTTCGTACTTATCAGTGCACCCGGCAAAGTATATTATAACCATCTATATCGATGAAAATCAATTTAGAATTATTAGAGAAAAATTTCAACCACCCTAATGTTTAAACCCTTGAGTAACAAAAGAAATTTCACAGACAATTTTATCACCCAACGTAGCACTAGAATATACTTTGAATTTCCTTCCTGTGCGATGGAACCATTTGCCTCAGGTGGATGCGAATCAGGCTGCCAGTACAAGAAACCATATTATGATTGCATATATGATAAGTCCAACATTTGAAGACAATACTTGATTTGATGTGGAGTTACCTTGTAAAGAACAATTGCTCTTTCCTCATTAGCATCAGTCACGGTTTTGTCGCCTGCCCAGAATTTTGAATGTAACTCAATACCATAAAAAATAAATTAAATTTAAAAATTAATATATTCAGCATCTACTGCAGCAGAGTACAAACTTCATGTTCATCGCTTAATCCTTTAAAGCCCTGAAATCTACCAAACCGGTGTGAAATTTGAAGGAACGGTGTAAATGGAATAAGGGGAGTCCAGTGAACTCTGTGATATGATCAGAAGAAAGAAAGGATAACATCTTTTGTTGGTAGGACCACTCATTTATGACTTGGTGTACGTACCTGCACTTGCATCAATGGCTGCTTTTCCATTGTCCTCCGAAGCCAAGTCACCATGTGATTCATTCTGTTTGTTGGCCATGCTAGAAAGCATAATGCCTGATGCATTCATGGCAGAGAAGTCTGATCTGTTGTACATTGCTTCTGCTGCTTCAATTTCAAGCCACTGTCCAGTCTCATGCTTTCCCTTCCACTGATCTATGAACCACGAGCATGCATCCCTGTAGCATGGGCAAATCTAACATCATACAAAAAAATGGTATCTACAAAGAAAAACTGGCGTGACAATTGTGGAAATGAGGGAATAAAAAGCTCCATTCAATGCAATATCGAAGTGGGCTCCATGAGCACAAACATGAATTAAAAAAGAAAAAAGAAGAAGAAAATCAGTAAGAAAGGGGGTGAGGAGGTGGGGGATGGCAATCAAAATCTGCAAACAAGGAATTGCTGCTTACATTAAACGCGAGGCTCCAAGGCATTCAGCAAATAACACCAGTGGCGCCATGTGATCAATGTAAAAAACAGCAGCTACTACATGTGCAAAGGCCATGCCTTGTTCTTTCTGCAGTACACTTTTCTGCCTCTAGGACTTTCAAAAGTTGGACTCTGATTATGCAAAATAAGTACAATGAATGAGTACAGGGCTCCTCAAAATGTTCTCAAATATTGTTACCCATGGGACATACCTAAATCTATGATTGAAAAAGGAAATACAAAGTTTCCTGTTTACTTACACCACAACCTTGCCTTATTCTTACCTATTTCTAATATATACAATGCCATATATACACAATATATTCTCACAGTCTCACAACCTTAAAACATGGCATCTTCATTTCATTTTGATTTATGATATGCAAATGTTAATTTCGAATAGGAATTGGGGTCACTGACTGTTGTGCCTCATTTTGTGGTGCGTTATGGATTTATTTTTATAATCTGAACTATTCATGTTGTAGGGTTTGTTGAGTACTTCATGTCTACCAAAAATCATATTAATCGGATATCAATGACTTATGATTGATAACCAAAAAAATAAACAATAAGTTTTTCTTTTGAAAAATAGTATAAAAATGTGCAATTCGATGGTATATTCATTTTTATTTAAGTATGTTTTTGGGGTTCATTTGTCTTTATAACCAAGTTATTTATCAAAAATGAGGAAAGAAAAGTGTAAATTTTGAATTTTGGTTTTTTATGTAAATGTTACATGTCAATACTTCATTCTCTTTTTATAAAATATTAACAAACTTTTATAAAGGAATTTTTTTTGTTTTGCCAAGTTTTATAAAGGAGGTTTAACTTCAATATTCTTAAAAACTATTAGGTTGGCAGTCATGTTTTAAAATGTAAAAATATTTTATATAATTTAAAAAAAAAATCACCAACAAAAAAATCAACAAAAAATTAACCCTTAAAAAAATATTGGATAAGGCAACCTTACTGCTTGCCAAATTGGTGCAGAATATTGTTTTCAAGAATAATTCTCTTCTAAATTAGTAATAATTTTTTGGTAATGGAAATGGTATAAATCCAGAATTTTTAACCTGGAAAATATTTCAAAATTTTAGTGTACAATATAAATTTAAAATTAATAAAATGTAAGTCACATAATAATGATGTTATTATTTTGAAAACAACATGGAATTGGTATGGGAAGTATGGATCATGGAAATTGATTTAAAATTAATAAAATGTAAGTTACACCATAATGATATTATTTTGAAAACAATGGGTGATCCAATTTTCAATGGAATTGGTATGGGAAGTATGGATCATGGAAATTGAACACGGATTGTGGAAACAAATACATAGAATGATATCGGATAAATGAGGAAGGAACCTTTTTTGACCATTGAATTATGACCATCCATTTTTTCCAATTAAATAGTAAACAACAAAAAAATATTTTGATAAATTATACTATACTCATTTATGTTTAATCATCTTTTTATTTAATTTTTTAGATTTTAAGTTTTTTTTTTAATTGAATCTTAAAAATAATTTTTGTTAAAAATTTGACAGAAAATGCTATAATAACCATTACATAATGTAAATATTATCCTAGGAAGTTGCATCACACAACAGGTAAGACTCGAACCCAACCATTACCCCTGGCAAGGGAGCACCTCATCTACTGGCCCAATCCTTGGTCTTACTCTGGTACATACTGTATAGAGTCAAATTTGAGAAAGTAAAGAGTCAGTATTGTAACTTCATTGTCCTGACTATGGCATGAAAAACTTTATTTCCCTTTCAATAGTTTAGCAAACTCCTAAACAGCCTTGCTAAGTTAGAACAATTAGAAATTCCAATTCATAGTCAAATGTGAAGCATGGCACGAATCTCTCGCTATTACAAATCCAGCAAGTTTGAGTTAAAATTAGACTGTCTTTTTGGAGTTGTTTTCAAGAATTCAGTGATTCCTCTTGCACTGGATATTTTATATCACTGCTGCAAAAAACCACTATTACCATTTTCGAAAAAATCTTTCCCTTTAGTTTACTATTTCTCTGTAGCTGATCTGATGCACAGATCTTAATGGTTTGGGTGTTTTGATATCGGCACTCTCTCCCTCACTCTCTCTATACAGTGTTTTGACATCCTCTCATTGGTCTTGGGTGTTCTTCAATTTGAAGAGCTATAGAAAAACAGAGTGAGAGAGTGCGTTAGTTTTGAAATTGTATTTCTCTTTAGCTTATACACTGAGATCTTAATGGTTTGGGTGGGTGTTTTAACATCGGCTCTCTCTCCCTCACTCTCTCTGTACAGTGTTTTGACATCCTCTCATTGGTGTTGGTTGTTTTTCAATTTAAAGAGAGAAATAGAAAAACAAAGTGAGAGAGTGACTTAGTTTTGAGACTGTATTTCTCTATTAAATATATTTTTATAATTACATTTTAATTTTAAATTTAAATAGTGTTACGATTACAATTATATTATAATTCTAACATTATTTACACCGTGCCTTCAGGCACGGGCATACGCTAGTCTATATAATAAAGTAGGATGATTTTTGAATTTGTCTTGCATACATTTGTCCTACTAAGACATTTGGACGGGTCAAATTTATTCAAATTATAAAACAATGGCCGAGATATATTTTCTAAAAAATGTCCTATATATACATTTTCTAATTTCCCGCTTCTCTCTCTCTCTCTCTCTCTCTCTCTTACTTTTTCCTTTTCTCACCCACCCTTCAATGATCCCATAATCCCACCTTCAAAACATTTTCTTTTGGAAGTAATGATGGGAATGAGAAAGAAAAGAAATCATTTTATATTGACTTGTGTCAAGAGGAACATTTCAAGAAAAACACAGTTATATGAGTACATTTTGTATAATAAATGTCACATTACTTATACGGTATGTCCTGATGCATTCATGATCATTTTTATCTATATGTTGTGATTGGTTAGGATCTTCGGGATCTCTATTGGGCTTATTGCTCATCTCACGTGTTGATGACCTTTTTCAGGTACAATGCTGGAGGAATCGTGTATGATTTGAAGTCTCTTAACTGTTGGCCACGGGGCCCTTTATTTGTAGGTCGAGTGCCATGTATTGTATAAGAGTAAATCCCTTTATTTTATTTGTGGTTATTCAATGTAAGCCTAAGGGCATTGTATCATGTCTTATTTATATCATCATTGTTATCGTGAGAGAATGTTATTATTTATTCTAGTTATTCTCAACTAGATGGAATTGTTATAAAGGATTTGGTAATGGATTTGGATAATAAAAGTCGGGGTGTGAAAAAAACTCCATTAAAATCTCTAATCAACAGTCATAACCAAACTCTTTTTAAAATTCAATTCAAAAAATTAATTGTTAACAAAAAGGAACACTCTTAACCAAACTCTTTTTAAAATTCAATTGAAAAAAATTAATGATTAACAAAAAAATAATAGTCATAACCAAACTCTTTTTCAAATTCAATTCAAAAAATTGATTATTAATAAAAAAATTTCAATTAAAATTTTTTTTATTCAAAATTTTATAAACAAAATAATTTGAAGGTCACAATAAATATTCAATTACTGATCATACTGAACTCATGATTGTATATTTGATTCGAATTATATTTTTTTCAATATTTTTTAGTTAAAATATTTTTATATTTTTAATAATTACTATCACAAATCATTTGCTAGTTATTATATTATTATTTTTCAAACAAATGGCCACAAAATTAGAAAGTATTATATACATTGATAGTCAAACAAAAATTAAAATATCATTTCATTCGTATCTACACAATTTATCACACATAATTCAATATTATTGGAATTTTTTCATTTGTTAAATTTCATCAATTGTGTGGGAAACCAAAAACCTATGTACCTTCATGGGAAACCAGTGAACCCTATGTACCTTCATCGTTTATATTATTGTGCCTCACTTGATGACTGAACCAAACCCGTGAACACTCTTAACCAAACCTTATGTACCTGCAAACCTGTCCTGCACACTCATGGCCCTTTTCTGCCAAACCTCAGTTTCTGATAAAAAAAACAAAAAAAACAAAAAATGATGCGTAAAGCTCTTTGGAACGTTGTGAAATTGAGACTATAATAGCCTCATAGCCTGACTTCAATACACCCAACAACTTTCATTACTTCAATGCCTTCAGCAACTTTTTCACCATCTTCATTTATCTTCATCGTTGAATAGTGTCAATACAACCACCACTAACTTGAAACATATAACCAGCTCCTCCACCAGCTACCTCAATTACTTTCACAAATTCAATTCACCACCTACCTCAATAAATTTCAAAAATTCAGTCTATATATTTACAAATCTTGATCGTGTAAAACAAGAAGAGAGGAAGAGCTTTCTTTTTGTACAGAGCTTCACAACAACACCCGAATCCAAATTCAGTCCACTACCTTCTACAATTAATTTCACAAATTCAATCAATATATTTACATTAGTTTCCATGTAAAACAAGAAGAGATGAAGAGCTTTGATTAAGTTCAGAGCTTCACAACAGCAGCAGAGGTTCACAATAGCAGCAGGAGCCGAATCCATCAAAGAACCGATCAACCGGGGGTCTTCCGACCGGTCAATCGGCTCCACCTTTTCACAATTTTTTTTTTGCTCAACCTGAGACTTCATTTGGCTATCCTGTTTCTGACCTTTTGCACACTATTTCCTCACAGCAGCAACCGAAACCTTCCATACCTTTTGCTTACCTTCAGAAGTCATGCCCAGAACAAAAAGAGTAAGACCAGAACATGGTAAAACCACTAACCCTCCACCACGCCAACAACAGCAACAACAGGCTTATCCAACTGTTGATTTTCTCACTTACAATCATGAACAAGCTTTTGAACAACCGACCAATTGTTATCGCAAAAAGGGTAAATCTCCCTCGTCAATATGATCCTCTGTTGGTGAACAAACTTGAGACGATGGGATGACTAAATTTAATCAATTTACTATAAAAAGTATATTCATGTCTTGTGTATTTATTTTATGTTCACTTGAGAGGGAGAAGTTGGAGAGAATAATCTAACATCTTATGTCAAAGGTAAAATAATCACATTGAATAGCCACACTTTGGAGAGCAAATATGAGGGTGGAAATACATTTGGAGAGCACAACCAAATACAGCCAAAGATTTTTTCCTTTCATTTTACTTCTTTCTTTTTTATTTTTTCATTTTCTTTTATAGAAAGATTCTTTCCAAGTATATTATTTTTTTAATCTTAGATTTTAATAAAAAAATTTACTAAAATGTCAATTTTCAAATGAGTTCTTAAATGGTTGTTTGGCATGTGCTAAAATAGCACATACTATTTTAGCATATTATCCTATTTAGA